AAGAAGAAGAAGAAGAAGAAGAAGAAGAAGAAGAAGAAGAAGAAGAAGAAGAAGAAGAAGAAGAAGAAGAAGAAGAAGAAGAAGAAGAAGAAACTTCATCTCAACCAATGGCTAGGTAGGGTGGTATGTACCTATCATCCCAGCTATGGGAAAAGCACAAAGGCTGGGCAAAGTGGCATATGCTGCTCTGGATAAGCACATGGAAGCAGCCCAGGCCTGCTCAGTCATTAGGTGAGACCCTACCTTGAAAATAGCCAAAGCAAAAAGAGGCATGACTCACATGGTAGAGTACTTCCCTAGCAAGTGTAAGGTCCTGAATTCAATCTCCAGTACTGCCAAAGAAATAAATTTAAAAACCTGGAACTATCACTGTAAGATTTGTTCAGTTCCTACTGCATGTAACGACTGAGTCAATCGCTCTTAAAAATAACTTCAAGAGGTAACTGTCTATCTGCAGAAGAAACAGGTTCGAAGGTAAATTGCCCAGAATTGCATTGGGAATTTGACAGCAAAGTCCATTACTCCTGTGATTGCATTTTTATCTTCCAAAAGGTATTTTGCATGTGTGCCTCTGTGTGTGTGCCTCTGTGTGTGTGTGCCTCTGTGTGTGTGTGTGTGTGTGTGTGCACGCGCGCCTGTGTAGCAGAGAGTACTGAGACTCTTGAACTTAGGGCCTGGGCACTGTCCCTTAGCTTTTTTGCTCAAGGCTGGTGCTCTACCACTTGAGCCATAGCTCCAGTTCTGGCATTTTTATGGTAAAGTAGAGACTTACCTGCAAGAGCTGGCTTCAGGCTTGATCCTTATATCTCAGCCTTTTAAATAGCTAGGATTACAGGGCCTAGCTCCAAATGGTTCTAATCGTAAAGTTCATCTACTAGGTTTTTCCAGTGGGCCTAGGTATGATCTGAGCACATATTTATTTGATAAACTCATAGATTTGGGCTTCTGGCTTTCAGACTTAATATAATCCCAAATGAGTTAAGTCATTTATGAAAATAATAATAGTCACTGGAATTTTTGTTTTTGCTCTGGTAAGTAACAGATGATGATCAGCCTCAAGATAAAGTAGCTAGTGACAGCCTGATAATAAACTTTGTAGTTTTGTTGGTCTCCTTTCTCCTAGGTCCTCCTTTGAAAGAAAGAAAACCCAGGTAAAACACCTGACAGCTCATTGTTATTCTGAAGTCATTTTGCTTCCTACTCTTATTCAAACCATCTCAGGGGCTTTGTTGACATTATCTGTTGATGGCTGTAATCCATCTTTCCAGAGAGGTTACTAGACCTTCAAACAACACCCTTCCTTCTGCAGAGATCCAAGGTTTGAGATCACTTCCTGACTACCAAGGCAAGCAGTTGTCCGGCCAACTGCCTGCACTACACCCCTGGGCACATTTCTACAGAGTAATATTTACAGTGCTGGATGGCTGGGCACTGTGAAGCTTAATGAGATTCTTAATAAAAGCAGCCTTCATTAAGACAGGGGGCACAGGCAACGTGCCCTTGCTTTTGAGGAGAGGACGACTTGGTACAAGACGAATGCTCCCCCTTGGCTTGGAAATCATGCAGGTCAAGTGCCTTGTCATGCATTAACAGCCTTTTTAAGTTGCTAGGCAGACTGAGAGGAACGGCCTAGATACATGGAGGCAGAGGAATCATGCGATCTGTCTTGGTAACATCAACGCTGAGACAGAGCAGCTGCATTTAAACAGAGCAATTTGCTAAATGAGGGCTTGGCTCCTTTCCAGGTAGCCAATGTGACACTGGGCTTGGATGAATCTTTTCTTCAATCATGCATCTGTCTAGACGGAGACATGAAAGGCCAGGTTACAGCCACCATCGCAACAGCAGCAGTAGCAGCAGCCTTGAAAGCCATACATAAAACACCCTTGGTATAGCCAATGAAGCTATATGTCTCCAGAGAAGCCACTTCTAGCCATATGACAGCCAGCTCGGGGCAGGGGCTCTCTGTGTGCACATCTGCTTGCTGCATGGCCCACCAGGTACACAGCAGGCAGTTGAGGTAGTCTTTGTATAGGATGCAGTTGAAGAATAGGTTAGAGGGCAGTAATACTGTCATGCCCTATGTTGTTTTGAAGGTAGACTTTTAATCATTCTGTTTGCATTCTTGTTTTAATTTTTTCTAGATCAGTTTTAAAATTTCTAAGATAAAAGAAAGCATTGTCTTAGCTTTCAGACATAATCCTATTCTGTTTGGCCTTTCCCCCATTCCTAGTATTCAAATCCACCATGTCCTGGGGACTTCCCTAGAGATCTTAGCTGTAGATGCAGGAGGTAGACCAGATGACCACTCAGTTCTAGGCCCTTAGAATCTACCAAATGAATTGGTTGATGACTAGGACATGGACTAACCTGACCAAATTAGTTGGAATCACTGTGATATCAATTGTGATAAAATAGGTGACCAACAGACTTTATTAGGCTGTAATGGGGACATTTAAAAAAGGAAATTTCTGGTTTTACTCTATGCACCAAACTTGTATTATTTTTATTAATGTAATAGAAAGTTTCCAGAGGCAAGGGTTTGTCTGAATTTTCCTGCAGCCCTGAGAGTCTCTGCTTCATTAGTGAGCAGCCCCACCCCACACTGGAACTCACTGGTTAGGCAGTGGCCCTTCCACCCTCCATGCTGACCTCAGCTTCTGTTTGTTCCTGACTTAGGAGGAAAAGTTTAATTGGATGAATCACCAGCAGCACTTCCTATGACATCTTGGGGGAAAACTACAGTTTGCTTAGGAAGAACTAAGAAGCACTTCCTTATAATTGTGGTATCTGGTCTGCACAGGTGGAAAAATTTAAGTTCTACTCTTTGTGGACCCAGAAAACTTTCTCACCCAACATTTTCTTTTCTGTATTGGAAGTTTCCTATCATCGGGCAAAATCTGCCCAGAGCCAGCTTGAATGTAAACAAAGAAACTGAACAGAGCTGTCCTAGGGGATGAGTGCGCCATTATTTTCCTCCCATCTCACCTAGCTCTCATTCAATTACTGGACTGTTCTGAGCCTGGTTTCCTCATCAGGACATAATGAACAGAACATTATCTGCGGGATGATTTTTCTCGGTACTCCCACAGATGGTACCTAACCTGTGTTTTTCCAGACATACAGGTGAAAAGCTAATCCTACATAAGATAATGTCTTAGGGCATGGTGGCTCAGACTTTATCAAGGAGCGTCTTGACAGCAAAGACTTCAGAGGATGGGAAGGGAATTGGTATGCCATGGGGCAAAACAATCAAGTCATTACATTCTGAGAAGGTCCCAATTCTGTTCAAGTCCTATCAATGAGGAAATGGCTCTGAAAAGTTACTTATGAACCCTCTTGAGAAACAGAGTTCTTAGTACATTAAGGATAATATAGATGACTATTTTTGAAAGATCTTTGCATGATTCTGAGCTGAGTGCAATAGTCTAAAGAAGCTTCAAGAACATTCACTCATTGAAGCAGCCTTCACAATAGGTGGTGATGAACAAGGTCCCTGGCCTTTGTCAGTCCAGGGCAAATGTGGCTTCCTTTATGCTAATTGAGATTAAGTCTAGGGTTCCAAGGATACAAGACAATCAAGAAACATGCAAATTGCGAAAACCCGAGAGCTGCCAAAGGATGATTAGGTGACAGATTAGGTGACGGCAGACCTGACTTCTGCTTATAAATAAACTTGTTTATTGCACACAACCCGAGGCTTTGCAAAATGGCACCTGAACTATTTAATACCACATTTGCTTTGAGTTTTTTCCCCCTCAGCCTAAAAAAATGTGATTTTTTTTAAAAAGAGCATCCAATGAGGTCTTAAATACTATATGAAAATGTCGTGACTTTTTAACATTCGAGTATAGCTTTATAAAGAGGCACCTTTGATTGGCATTTTACTTCATTTCATGGCTGTTAATGAAGCAGCACACATACCAGCCACAAAGATGAAAGGAGCAGAAACCGAAAACGATACTTGAAATAAAATGTAGCCCTGATTTGCTAAGCCCCTAAATTGTAAAGCAGGAGCTCAGTAAGCCTATGCATCATCCACACCAAGTCCACTAGGGGGCAGTAGATGATCGAGTCTCCATCAGGCAGGCTTTAATGACTGCACCTGAAGGATGGCAGGTCCTTTACACCAAGTGAGCAGTGCGGCAGGCAGCAGTGACAGGTGTGGAGGGCCAGCCAGTTATTGCTGCCATTGCAGTCTGTCAGAAGGATGAAGTGAAATGGATCATTTGCATTTTTACCCATGAACTTGAATTCTAATGAACTGGTAGTGTGGCCTGGACCTGGCCTGGCTTCTGCAGGAGCATAAAATGACCAGGCTGGACCACACCCAGGAGAGCACAGCCAGAAAAAGGTAGAGCTTAGCACCCCCATTCACTGGGAGGGACCCCCGAGAGGGGCTTTCCCCTGCTATCCTGTCTCTGTCTTGTCATCCACGTAGGGGAATTTGAGCTAAGTGGCTTTGGGACCTAAATCTAGGGCAGCATTCCCATCCCAGTCTGTATGAATGGCACCCCCTAAAGGTAGGTAGTGCATAGCTTGTTTGGGCTCCACTATTTCTAGGCTCATCCTATTTAAAGACATTTGCTTTAAGGAAAGTCGGGGTGAGACCTGAGTGGAATTAGGAAATGAGACAAGGCAAGGTTTGATCTCCATACGCTCCCAAGTGTTGCTGCCTCTCTTCCCTCTTCAAATGAGGGAATCCACAACACTTCTTCACTGTCCTGTCCAAACCTGCTCTCCAGAGAGGTGCTAGAACACCAACTCAGTTGTGTTTACTTCATTCCAGTCCCTCCTCCCCTAGGCGAATTTGCATTTGAGACCAATTTCTCATAGTGAAGCAAGTTTCCTTCCTCCAGCCTGGTGAGGGCCCCTGCAGACCGGGGCTGTGCCTTTAGTTGTGCTGCTTTCCTGTGCTCTGACTAAAGGGCTTTTGGGCCTATTCCCTCCCCTCCCCTCCCCTCCCCTTCCCTCCCCTTTCCTCCTCTCCCCTCCCCCCTCATCCTCTTTCCTCCCCTTTCTTTTTTTTGCCAGTACTGAGGCTTGAACTCAGGGCCTGGGCTCTGTCTTTTAGCTTTTGCACTCAAGACTGGAACTCTACCACTTGAGCCACACCTCCACTTCTGGCTTTTTGATGGCTAATTGGAGGGAAGAGTCTCACAGACTTTTCTGCCTAGTTTGGCTTTGAATTGCAATCCTCAGATCTCAGCTTTCTGAATAACTAGGATTACAGGTGTAAGTGCCACCAGCATTTGGATTTCCAGCCTATTTCTTCACCCACATCTGGAGCATTTCTTTTGTTTACTTGATAATCCACAAAGCTTAAGGCTAAGTGTGTACAGACTCCAGTCATCCTGCTCCAGTTCAAATCATAGCTCTGCCAACTCTGGGGAGCAGAGAATCTTGGGAAAATGGCAAAAATGTTCTGGGCCATGGTTTCTACCTGGTGTTTGGACAATACAAAAGGCACCTGGCACAAGCAAGCACCACACACATGTTACTGTGAGTGAGTCTCTTTTCTGTTTCCATCTCAGCTTTTCCGGGCATATGCATCCATCCAATTCCTGCCCCACCCCATTTTTTCTGGAAAGGACACCAGGTGGGTGTTTGGTCCTTGACTCAGTTCTTCTCCTACACTGACCTGGTCATCTCCGTAGAGGATCAGGCACTTGTCAGGAGCCATGGAGCTAAGTAAAGAACATAAACACAAATCACCATCTTCAGACACAATACCAAGACAATAAGTTGGTGGTGAGGCCTGGGAAAAAAGTCATATAATCCATGCCCCTTTTGTAACCATCTTGGAAACAGACACTAGATTACAAGTCACCTAGATTGCAAGTGGTTTCTGATTCTCTTTAATCATTGACTTGTGCTGTGAAGACTCATGGTTAAAATAATGTCAAAACCCATGAGGAAGCTGTGAGAGTTTTAAGGAGGTGGCTGGGCTGTGAGCCCTTGGTGGGGCTGAGATGCAACTTAAAAGATGCTTCCTCCCCCACCCCCTCCTTGGTTGTAGGGCTTGAAGTCAGGGCCTGGGTGCTGTCCCTGAGTTCTTTTTGTTCAAGGCTAGTTCTCTACCATTTTGAGCCACAGCTCCACTTCCGGTTTCCTAATGGTTAATTGGAGATCAGTCCCACAGCCTTTCCTGCCCAGGGTGGGTTTGAACTGTGACCTTCAGATCTCAGTCTCTTGAGTAGCTAGGATTAGGGATGGGAGCCACCAGCACCTGGCTAGAAGATGCTTTTACTAGGTCTTGTGAATTAACCAAAAGTCCAGGACTTTGAATTGGTGCCGGTTGACGGCTCTGCTGCAGTCACTGTGTAATCACCAGGGGCTCCAAAAAAGACTGGAGTCACAGATTTCCATCTTGTGAAAAGGCAAAACCGCCCCACATCTTCTTACTATCTTAAAACAAACACTCAGGAGGCCACCTTGTTCCTGCTTTGTTCCAGTCATGGCAACCTCTCCAGAATTCCTCCAGAGACAAAGACTCAGCTAATGCTCAATCAGACAATATCTGAGACTTTAATTATGCATAGCTTTCTCACCTCCTGCCTCCAATTCTCCCTATTTAAGCTGAAACTAAGGTCTGTGTCCATGAAGACGGCTGAAGAACTGAAGTGCTGTCTTCCCATAGCTGCCATGTAAAAACAAAACAAAACAAAAAAACCTCCTTTCTCAGGGCGCCGGTGGCTCATGGCTCTAATCCTAGCTACTCAGGAGGCTGAGATCTGAGGATCACAGTTCAAAGCCAGCCTTGGCAGGAAAGTCCATGAGACTCTTATCTCCAATTAATTACCAGAAAACTGGAAGTGGCACTGTGGCTCAAGTGGTAGAGCGTTCACCTTGAGCTGAAGAGCTGAGGGACAGCGCCCAGGCCCAGAGTTTAAGATCCATGACTGAAAAAAAAAATCTCCTTTCTCTGCCTTTTCATTATGTCTCTTTATTTGGCAAGTAGGAACCAGTGTTCAGACCTAACTTGGGACTCCAAACTTTGGGTTTGGAATCTAAAATCCCAGTTTCAGGGCTACCTTAACAGCTTGATGGAGGAACAGGGACTTCCCTGACACCAGACATCTCTCCCATCAGAAAGAAAGAAAGAAGGCAGGATGGTGAAGTCAGATGAATATCTAGCTCTCCAAAAGATGAGGTGGCACTGGCTTGTTCCAGGCTCAGAATGAGAGGAACAACTCTCCATATAGAGAAAGATTTAAGCATAGCCAGGCACACAGGAGGACAGGTTTGGCAGGCAGAAGGGACAAAAGAGGAGGAAGGGCAGAGAGTAGGAATAAGATAGGAAGCTGTTGAGTGGTATGACTTTTGTCTCAGCCCTCAAGTCCTCAGTACTGTCTACAAATGACACAAAACACATAGATTGTTTGGATTATTCATCGAAGAAACAGAGAAGGGGCAGAGTGGATATAAAAGCTAGAGGGCTTGTCTGGGTGGTAGTGACTCACACCCATAATCCTAACACCTCAGTAGGCTGAGATAGGACAATTGTAGTTTGAAGTTAGCCTGGGCAGAAAAGTCTGTGAAACTTTTATCTCCAATTAATTAGCAAAAAGCCAGGAGTGGAGGCATAACTCAAGTCAAGTGGTAGAGCACAAGCTATGAGTGGAAAAAAGGTGATTGAAAGTGCAAGGTCCTGAATTCAAGCCCCGTTACTGGTAAGGAAGGGAGAGGCCCGGTCTGAATCTAGAAATTATTGACATAGCAACCACAAGACTTGATGGAACCTGTGCGGCCACATTAAATTCGATGAATAATTGATCAGTACCTATCTGGATTATTTATTGCTTCTTTATTTCCAAAGATAGGAATATTCTACTTGACATATTTCTTTCTGTTTCAGAATCAGAAATTTGTATATTTTAAAAACACTAATTATAATTATTTTACAGATATTGTGACACATACAATACCTGTTATTTCCTTCTCTTTCCCACTTAGAATGTAGGCAGATCAAATAGATCCATGCTGCTTGTTCCTTAAAATTACTGAAGATGGGGCTGGGAAGGTGGCTCAGTGATAGAATACTTGCCTTGCATGCATGAGGCCCTGGGTTCAATTCCTCAATATCACATAAGCAGAAAAGCCAGAAGTGGCACTGTGGCTCAAGTGGTAGAGCGCTAGCCTTGAGCTGAAGAGCTGAAGGACAGCGCCCAGGACCAGAATTCAAGCCCCATGACTGGCAAAAAAAAAAAAAAAATCTGAAGATATTTGGGGATGTATATTCTTTACTGGTTTTTAATCTCCCTATATGTATTTCATGCTCATCTCCATTCACAGATGTGAGATATCTATTCCAACCAACATTGTCTGTTATAATACCAAAGACTCTATCAGACAATGCTGCCATTCATAAACCAAAACATAAATAGATATACTTGACCTAGCCTCAAAACTCTGACATCTTAAGCCTTTTCCACATGGAAATATTTCTGAAGTTTTAATGTAGTCAAATCTGTTCCTCACTCCTGGCTTTAGAATCCTGATTTTACAAAGGAGTTTCTCCACCTCTATCATTATTGACATATTCTTCTAGCTTTTCTTCTAATAGATTGCTTCTAAAACATTCAGATATTGGTTCTACCTAGAATCGATTCTTATACATTACATGCTAAAAGGACTTATTTTTTTGCCCCTAAATAGCCAAAAGCTATTTGCTGGATTGATCCTCCTCTAATTGAAATACCAGTTTCATTCCAGACTCTTTTCCATGCACATGGAGCTCTCTCGCTGATCTCTGTGGCTCTTCTTTACACTAGCATTTTATTGCAACTGTTTCTTTTCTTTTTTATGCTAAGGATTAAACTTACTGCTTTGTGATCAAGCCACAACCCCAGACCTACTTACTTTAATTTAGTAAGGGTTGTCTATTTGTAACTCAAGATCTTCTTCATTCTTTTTCATCATTTTCTTGGTCATTATCAAATGTATGCTCTCCCAAATAAACTTTAGAATCAACTCATTAAGCTCTAATTTAATTTCATTGAGATTCTGGTCATCTTTACCATATTTAATTTTTCTATTCAGGAAAAATGTGTCTCATGAATTCAGCTATTCTTTATGTCTTTAGGAAGATTACTAGTAAAGTTATTGCCGAGCATTTCCCATAATCTGCCAAACGATTTCTTCCTCAGGCAGGGATTATTCTAGAAAGACAGAAAGGAGTTGAACTCCTGGTGGCCAGTAAGCATTACGCTAAAGCTTGATTGCTGTCTGCCTGTCTACCTCCCTCCCTCCTTCCCTCCTTCCCTCCCTCCCTCCCTCCCTCCTTTCCTTCCTTCTTTCCTTCCTTCCTGTCTTCCTTCCTTTCTTCCTGTCTTCCTTCCTTCCTTCCTGTCTTCCTTCCTTCCTTCCTCTCTCCATCTCTCTTTCTCCTTTCTCTCTCTCTTTCTCGCTTTCCTCCCTCCTTTCCTTCCTTCCTTCCTTCTTTCCTCTCTTTCATTATCCTTAAATAGTTGTACAAAGGGGTTTCAGGTCAACATGTGAGTTTGGGAATACAATGAATGCATCTTGATCAGCGTCACCATTTTCATAATTCTCTTCTATTTCTCCCAACCAAACCCATTCCCTTCACTTTTCCTAGTTCCATTGTCACATATGTACACTGAACATTATAACTGCATTCTTTCCCCTTCCTCTCCTTGACCTCCTCAAATGAAAGCACATGTTCCCCCTTCCTTGTATTCTTTTTTTCAACTGCACATCAGTTGTTTAAAGTATTAAACTATTGGAGTCCTCCCTTGCATATCCCATACTTTAGTTAATGCCGTACATTGTGTGTATATGCATGTGTAGACCTTCCTCTTTCTAGCAGCTTCCCTTGACTTTGGTTTCCCCAGGTCCACATGTCTGCACATTAGCCACGGACAGGCATGAACTGCTGCCTGTCTCTCTGAGCCACATACCCAGGGCCATACTGTACACTTGAGTTTCTGATACTTTAACCTGTCTTTTTACCTGCCCTAGCCCTTTTCCTTTCCAACACAGTGTATTGGGGGATGGTGACTAGCAGCCAGCCTCCCCAGAGGAAGTAGTTTTTTCATGTTTTCTTCACTCACATATCTCAGGCATCCACAATAGTGCTAAGCCAACAGCACTGTGGTTGGCGACTGTCCACTTCCAGACCACCGTCCACACTCCTGTCCTGTCCCTGCTGTGTACATCCCACCACACAGCATCTGGACTTCCCTGGCAGCCCAACACCACTGGCCCTCCAGGACCCACAGTATTTGCAATATCTGCATGGGGCTCTGTCTGCCTGAACTATGCTCACACTCCTCAAGGGAACTGCCATTCATCTTTGGCTACTTGGTCTCCAAGACCCATGATGGACTCAGGCTATGACCAACCTCAGCTATCCATCCAGTCCTGGAGGCCACAGGGCTGCCTCTCGAGTCCCACTGCACGTGCATGTGCATGCACACACTCACACACAAGGCTCCTGGCCTTCTGGATTTCCAAGTACCAGCCCGTATGCAAGAGCTGCTACCATATCCACCTTGCTTGTAGTTGAATGAGTATGGGGCCTATCACAGAGCTTGGCACAATCTGGGCATGCTCTCACATCCTACCCTTCATTCTACAAAGAGTTCTTAAACATATTTCTAGGCTTGGCACTGTTAGAAACCCTTAGGATGTAATAGACTAAGTCCTCACGGTCACAGCACTTGTA